TAATATCGCAGAATTCGCAAACCTAAGGTTGCGGGTTCTACCAAGAATGGAGTAGATAAATTTTATGGATGCGAAAATCATAGGCACTCATGTGATATGATTATGTCGCATGCAAAAAAAATCCCTTGAATATCAATTTGGCTCTGGTTCGGTGAATTCAAGTCACGACAATATTTAGCATCCGACGAGTTCTTGAATACAACACTAATTAAAGCTTCCAAATTTGTTAGCGAAGCCGCCACCAGATGGTGCCACCATGAAATGGCTCTCACATCTGGGGACTTACCGTGTCTGCAAAGGCTAAGTTGCTAAATTGCAGCCCATTTGAAAAGAAATATCCCAGGATGTCATCAGTTTCATTTAACATGTATTTTTAGATGTAAATTTTAAAGTGCAAGAACAATCATTTAAGAAATTTAAGATTCAAATGTAAAAGGAACCTAACTTTTACAGAAAATACATCAAACAACCAATACAACCAAAAATAACTCTGGAAAATACAACCAAATTAACTAACTGGGACTCAGTTGCAACTCGATGCTCATGTGTCGACAGCCACACCTCGACTGCTGGCTTCTTAAATTATCCGCTAGAGGTCGCTGTCGATATGTTGGTTTGCTACACAGTAAGTTTAAAAAACTACTTGATATTTTTAACAATTTTTACGGCATTTTACCTCTTTCATTTAAATAAAGTTATATAACTAATCCTTGTTAAAATTACTATCAAATACTAGACTTGCTTATATGAATTGAGACAAGAATAAACTTTTTTGTTACTGAAATGAAACGTGCATTCAAACTTCAAATTAATTAAGCGAGATGTTATACTTGAAAATTCTATCTTTTAGAAAAAGCATACGCACATTAAAATAACGCAAAGATATTTTACCGTGTTTGTTTAGTTGTTGAAATTTTTTTCATTTGGTGTAAAGGAAAAAACGGAATTGAAGATCTGAGAAACCACTAGCGAAAAGATATCGAATTACTGCAAACAAGGATAATAGAACCATGTGCATTTCATTCAGGAAAAGTTATTTTATATAAGTTTTTTACTTAATTGGATAATACAGTCTTCATATATTTTATGTCAAATTAAAATCTTTGAAGTCCTACCGTCTAGACGCTGTTTAATAACTCTTATTGTCTTATTGGTTATTCCAAATTTCCCTTCATATCAGTTTCATACTCATAAAGTAGTCGTAGAATTTCCAAACACATTTTAGTGCGCAACAATTCAAGAATTCTTCAAAGTTTTAATGCAATATTAAAATAAATTTTTGATGTAAGTATTAAATTTCGAAGCTAGTCGTATCTTCATGAGGAGTGCATCTCTATATATCTATTACGTCTCTATAAATTTCTCAAATTCAAATTTGTTCTTTTTTTTTTTTTGTCTAGAACTTGCCTTAAGTATATAACTTTCAGAACTTTTCAAATTTTAATTTCAATATTTAATTAAATTTTTGCTCTAAATAAATGAGTAAATTATTTTGAATTGAATAAAGTATGAAATATTGTTTTGATATTAAGACATTTTGAACTAAACGGACCAAAGTAGTATAATACTAAAAGTAATTTCTCGCAATGTGTATAAAATTTACATGTGGGTTAGTTTCATTTTATATATTTTTGACGTATTAAGTTTTTATTTTTTTTATTTTTAAAAATTTTTAATTAGAGAAATTAAATGAATTATTTTCCCCTTGAGATTAATATTTTGTCCTTCAGTTGCTTTTTTTTAAAATTATAGCATTATTTGTTCATTTCGGCAATGCAAACAAAATTAAATAATTATTAATGCAACAAAAGATTCAAAATTTCACTTGATTAAGGATTAATGAATGAAATAGAAATTTAAATGTAAATGACCTTCGGAATTTTTAAAGTCCTAGTTTAGTTCATTTCTTAAGTTTTGAGTGTACCAACTTCTTTAGAATTCCCTCGAATGCACAAAAAAATACGCCAGGTAAGCTACATTTCTGCCTTTCAATTTACAACCTATATTTCCAGAAATTAAAATGACATATATGTAATAAGTAATTACTTTAAAGAGAATCAACATTTACAAGACTCCAAGCAATTACTTTTCACTGAAAACATCTTCGTCTACCAAAAACAGATAACAACTTTAAAAACTAAAATTTGTCCTCATTAAAAAAAACCATGCGTTAAAAATATTTGAACGACATTTTATGAAATTAAAAGGGTAAAATGCAACATTGTGATACATTCATTCAACTTTATTTTTTTGAAATTGTTTGACTTTTAAAAGTTTATATTCGTCCTTTCAATCTAATTTAAATCCATTTGAACTCTCTAATGTTGTTTATTAATGAAAGTAAATTTATTTTTAAAAGCCCAGTAATTATTTTCTCGTAATTTATTCAATTCTACGTCTCTTAGGAGTAAGCCAGATTCGCGCAAGAACTTGAAATGATTATTTCAGTGAATTTTCTTAAGGATTCTCTGCTTGAGTGGTGAAATAAAAAAATTCCAACCACAAAAGTACATAAATATAATAAATAACAATATAAAATGGCAAAAATTAACATATTTTAAGGCAGCGTTGCTCCAACTGGGGGGTGCCCCCTTAGGTGGCGTGATAACGTTACTAGGAAGGCGCGAGCAAATCAAAATGTCGAAAACAAAAGATTATTTTTTAAAAAATTATTAATTTACTGAAAGTAAACAAACAAAATACATTCTGACATAATGAAATATAAAATATACATTTGCGATGATATAATTCACTTATAAATGTATCAGTGCTACACAATATATTTTATAATTAATTTGACAATAATAAGTTAAGAACAAGTTTAAAAATTACCAGTGACCCACATGGGCTTGTCATATATAAAATTTTTACAAAAATTAACACTTACCTTGATAATTTGTACGGTTTATAATTACTTCCTTAACTGTCGATTAAAAGTTATGCGATTCGCTCCCTAATGCCACAGTTTTCCACGTAGGTGCGCGTATGTGATGTATTGGGGGGAGGGGATGAAAATGAATAAATAAGTAAAACCTTCTCTAAAATAAGTAAAACCTTCTCTAAAATAAGTAAAACCTTCTCTAAAATAAGTAAATCCTTCGCGCAAACACTGTCAAAGTAGTTTTATTACATTCCAAAGCCTTCGGTATAATTTTATGAACAGCAATGCACAGAGAAGATCGTACTTCGAAAAGATGCACATGTACGTCCAGGGCAATGAACGCTTTGGCTGAGCGAGACGTTTATATACGCTTGTGGTACTTAAGAGGTTAAAGTCGTATTGTAGCTTTAGCATCAAAGTATAGTATTATCGAATTCAACACATTGTTATTGTATGGAAGGGGGGGGGAGGAGAGATGAAAATTATGGTTGAATATTAGGTCGCAAATATTTAAAGTTTGAGCAATATTTTAAGGACATTAATACTCGAAGCTAAAAATTATCTGATATGGAGTTGCTGTAAAGTTTAATTCTGCAGCAATAATGGATGATAATCTTTCGAAAATAATTAATTTAAATGCATCTGTTTATTTTATTATTTTTAAAAACGCTGTTGAATTAAGTAGAAAATATACAGATTCCTTCATCTCTTTATTTAAAACAACTTTGAGAAATGAGCTTGAACATGGAAAAATAAACGTGATTGTAAAAATGAAACAGTGTACTAAATTACAAAAATCCATTAGTGAATGTAATTCTTTAAATTGAAATATTCTTTTTAATGCGTTTCTTTTTTACATTCCATAAGCAGAAACTGAATTTCAGATTTAAATAATCATTTTGTTGGTAATTATACAAAAATTAAGATTTTTTGAAAAAGAATACACAATTTTAGTATTATTTATTTTGAAGCTAAACATATTTTATTTTTAAATTGTTTTATTAAATTAACAAGGAAACCATGGGAATATTCTGGTAAAATCTTGTTTACCTTATAACTCAAGCACAAATGAAATGCCGAAGGAGAATTCCAAATGTTTCGTATATTTCTTTGTGATCTTTTAGACAAAAGAAATGAAGAAAGTAAATACGCTTTGAAAATTATAATATATGCCGCAAATGAAGAATTATATATGGATTCTAGCTTACTTGATTGTAATTTTAAAGCTTCTGAAAGGTTTAATATCAAGAAAGATAAGAATATTTGATCATAAGACGACAGAAAACAGCTTATTTTTTTACAAAGGAAATTAAAACAAAAATTATCATGCTTTGGGATATTTGCGATTGAATAACATTTTATTACCATACTTATTTTTAGAAAATCTTAGTTTCTTTTGTGCTGAAACAAACTTAGATTACGTATTAGAACTTTTGCATTAATTTGATTTTGTTTCTAGCAGTATTTGCATTAGTTCATTTAAGTGAAGGTAAAAACCTTTGTGGTTTTCAAGGTGAGAGTATTGGTTAGTTTAATGAAATGCAATGCAAAACATCTTGTGTCGCATAAGGGATATACAGAATTTAAATCGCACTTTGTCACTTAAATATAATCCACGCAGTCACTTTTGGATGGGGAACAATAAGGTATTTTGTGATATTAAAATGCAATTCGCGTGCGCGCACGTGATATGCTTAGATTTTATGTTTAGTCATACATTATTATGAAATACCTAGTGAAATGGGTTGATGACAGCTAGTTTTTTAGTATATTGCCCTTGGATATGTTTTTGTGCACAGGGCTCATGGTATACTCGCAACATATTAATAACAAGTAATATAAAAAAAATTAAGTCAATTTCTACTTAGGTCTACAAATTTTATTTTAGTTACTTTTTATTAAATAATTACAATTAATATAAATATGTATATACATATGACAGAATCACACTTTTAAGTGGCAAAAAAGAAAGCGATTTTGCTTGCAATTTTCCATTTTTCTTTCTATATAGAGTATTGGATTATTATTTTTGTTTGTGTTACTATTTATTCATTTATTAAATTTAATTATTCCAGTAAAATAGTATAGCAAAAAGAAATCACATTCTAAGAAATTAGGCCATCCTAGGTGGGATTCGAACCCACGACCCTTAGATTAGAAATCTAACGCGCTATCCTTTGCGCTATAGGGACACAACGAACGGTTTTCCTTTCTATATATGGTCTATATTTTGTCATCTGTTTAGTCTATATGTTATTGAATTACAAACTAACCTAAACTTTTACCCCTTTACTTTTATCATAACTGAGCTGGTGTTTTGGATCCCTGTAACCAATTTTCATTATAATATATTACGAAACTATATTAAAAAATCCTCGTTTTTAATATTTAAAAAAAATAAGTGTAATAAATTATATAAACAATACATCACACTTTAAATAACGTTACGTGTGTTTGTTCATTTACTTATATAAAAAAATGCAATCTTTTGCTGTAAATTTTAAATACATTGAAAATAAGCCAGTTTATGTAAAATTCAATTATTTTTTAAAATTTAGTTATGGTTGAGTCAATATTTGCGTGAAAATGTGTTCAAATTGTTTTCTAAAAACAATTCAGATTCAAAATTTTTATTTTACGGCCTGTAGTAAACAGTTGTATACAATAAGTTTATAACTAAGTTTTTTCTTAAAAAAAAAGAATGATTTTTAATTTGAACTAAATATACCTATATATAATCAAAAAAGGAAACAGTACGGTATAAGAAAAAGAAAATCCCAAAGTGTATTAGTAGATGGCACCGTAAGCGGCAAAACGAAATTGGATTCGGTTACAAGGGATATTTTGAATCTAATTACGAAATTTTTGGCATGAGGTGCTCATTAAACCAATCATACTCTTCTATGGGTATGATTGTTTTGATTTTCGAGTTGCAAGTCATTCAACACTTGTTGCATTGTTAATAAACAAGTAATATAAAAAAAATTAAGTCAATTCCTACTTAGATCAACAAAGAAAATTTTTATTTTAGCTACTTTTTATTAAATAGTTACAATTTATACAAATATGTATATACATATAACAGTATCACAACATTAAGTGGCAATTAATATTTATTAATTATCATTAAAGTATTGTATTGTCATCCAAAACAATCGTGTCTATAAAATTTCAGCTCAACTGAATGCTTTAAAACGTGAGAAAAAAGAATCGTTTAGAATTTTGCCCCAAGTCTCTAAAAATGAAATCAACGTGGCTGTATTTGTAATTCTTTAAATAATTAGTTTCAGTCAATTAATTTTAATTAATTATGATTAAATTATCGTATTTTTACCCACAACAATAGTGTCTTGAAAATTTCAGCTCAAATGAGTGCTTTAAAATGTGAGGGGAAAAAAAACCTTTTCAAGTTTTGACACAAGTCGCCAAAAATGATGCCAGCGTGGCTGTATTTGTAATTCTTTGAATTAGTTTTAATTAACTTTTATCAGTTATAATTAAATTACCGTAGTCATCCAAAATAATCATGTATGTAAAATTTCAGCTCAATTGAACGCTTTAAAATGTATTTTATTATCGATTGAAAATTCTATTAAGATAAATAAATATATAGAGAGGGTGAGCTAATAGGAATTTGAAAAAACCCATCCACCATGGTAAGGTCGTGCAACATTTGTTGGGAAAAATCGTTTTTTTTTTATTGTTTTTGGGTCTAAACCCGCATCTTTTGGAACACTTTGGAACTTTTTATTATGTACCGTCTCCCTCTTGTTCAAGTATATCCAGCTACAATTTGAAGTCATACTGACCAATGATTCTTATCTTACAGCATTTTTTTTGAAAAAGAACTTTAGTTTTGATCACCCTGTAGGTTAAAAGATGGAGAAAGCATAGGATGGATATAAAGAAATTAAATAAAATTTTGTGGTGAAAAATTACCTTTTTCGGATTTCTTTCAGACATCGTGTTCATCTTTAACTCTTGTATTTATCCTTCATGCCGGTAATAATGCAATTCGTAAGCCCCTGTTACAGGACATCCTTTTCGAGAATCATTTAAAACCTAGGGGCATGATCTTTTTGAAGGAAGTGTTCATGTATTCGAAAGGTCATTTTAAGACGAAGTGCAATCGATGATTCCTAACCCCCTAACAGAATATTTTCTTTGTTCACGAGTAGTGAAAACCGATGGAATCTCTTTAAAGTTTCTTCCGATAGTTATAAACTCAATCTTGTCCGTCTCCAAATTAAACTTCCTTTTCAATCTGGAAGGATCACATTTTGCAATTCAATACTCCTCCTCTTGTCCTTTGAACTGAATTACTTTGGATTGGTTTTTATGGGAGTGAAGAAAAAGTAATAGTTTTATAAATTTTCTCAAAGGGAACTTTATCCACAAAAAAAAGTTGCTGCCTTCAGTTGACAGACAGAGATAAATTTTAAGTATCGTGTTACTCAAAGTGAAGAATTTGGGGAAAAATGGGATTTATTTATGCAATAGATTTCCGATTATCTGGGAGTGGCTTTAGCGGGGAAACGAACTTTTCGGAAAAACTATTCTAAAAACGAAAAAAAAAAAAAAAATTAAAAAATATATATTTTAAAATGATTAGGTGGGTAGCCCCTGTCCGCCAAACGGTGGACCAGCCCCATTGTACAAATTATACAACTGTTCATACTCATTGCTCAACTTGTAAAACTAATTTCTATGTACTATGGAATTCTATTTATTATTTGTTCTTTTTTTCGCAAAATTTGCTCTTGGTGCTCCTCATCAGTTAAATCAGCATTTCTCAAACTGTGGGGCGCGCCCCCCTTGAGGGGCGTGATAACTCTACAAGGGGGCGAGAGCCTATTGAAAAGTTGAAAACTAAAGATTATTCAAAACATTATTAATTTACTGAAAGTAAACAAACCAAATACTTTCTGACATAATAAAATATAAAATACACATTTACTGATATAATACACTTATAAAAGTATCTGTACTGTACAATGTATTTTATTATTAATTTAACAATACTAAGTTAAGAACAAGTTTGATAATTACCAGTGACCCCATGGGCTTGTATTAACAATTATCTTGATGATTTGTACGGTTTATAATTAATTCCTTAACTGCATATTAAAAAATACACGGTTCGGTCCCCAATGTCACGGTTTTCCACGACGTGCATATTTTGATGTTTTTTTTAGAGGGGGAGGAGAAAAGTAATAAATAAGCAAAATCCTCTAAAATAAGTAAATCCTTTGCAAAGACTGTGTCAACGAACTTTTACTACATTCCAAAGCCTTAGGAATAATGTTATGGATAGCAGTGCACAGAAGAGATCGTACTTGGAAAGACGTATATATACGTCCAGGAGTTTAATGCTTTGGCTGAGAGAGACATTTATATACATCGGTGGCACATAAGAGGTTAAAGCTGTACTGTAGCTTTAGTGTAAAAGTATAGTATTAGTGAATTCAATACAATGTTATTATGTGGAGGGGGGCGCGATGAAAATGATGATTGAAAATTGGGTCGCGAGCATTGAAAGTTTGAGAAGCACTGAGTTAAATTCATCACTCAAGTTGCGCCGTCCAAAACTTCATTGATGAGGTCCTCAGATTTTGACAAACCTGCAGCTTTCTGGAAATTTGAGTATTTAGTTCCGTTGATTGTTGATAAAGCTTTCTATGAGACAACGCCTTTCTCTTCTCACACAATGATTGCAGTTCAGGTAATCGTTGTGATATTTTTCTGCAAGATCTTGAAGTATTGTGCTATCGCAGCTGTGTTGACGACATTATACGAAACGAAGCACTTGGTTGCTACAGTTCAGCGCGTACGACACATATGAAATAGGGCTGCCAACTTGGCGAGTTATCTTAAACGTTGGCATTGTTGCGATAGTACGTAATAAATTTATTACAGCATAAGGAAAAAAATTTTTATATATAGAGAGAAATAGCTAAAGGGAGAAACAATTCGGAGAGCTCACATATGAACGATTATGTAATATTTTCAGAAATAAAGTCCGTGATGGGATTTCACTTGATAGTATGTGATGTCACGTGGTTATGTTTCTAGATTAAAAATTCGAGAGACGTCTATCTTACGTTGGCAAAAAAACGTACTATGGTTATAACATGTGCTCTAAGGTGGATTGTAATGACAGAGAAAAAAAATTAGAATGGTAAACCTCTGATATTTCGATATTAAGTACAACAGTGCTAGGACAAGGTTCACATTAAACTACATATTTTTTTTAATTCCTACTGTTAGCTCACACTCTTTATATATTTATTTATTTATTTATCTTGGTGAAATTTTCAATCGTTCATAAAATACATTTTAAAGCGCTCGATTGACCTGGAACTTTATATACATGATTATTTTGGAGGACAATACAATAATTTATAATTATAATTAATAAAAATTAACTGATTAAAACTAATTATTTAAAGAATTACAAATACAGTCACTTTGGCATCATTTTTGGCGAATTAGCGATCATTTTGGCGATTTGTGTCAAAACTTAAAAAGGTTTGTGTTTTCTCACGTTTTAAAGCATTCAGTTGAACTGAAAATTTATATACACGATTGTTTTGGATGACAATACGATACTTTAATGATACCACGACTTAACGTTGTGATTCTGTCTTATGTATATACATATTTGTACTAATTGTAACTATTTAATAAAAAGTAGCCAAAATAAAATTTTTCTTTTTTTATCTCAGTAGGAATTGACTTATTTTTTTTTATTACTTGCTTAACTATATTGATGTAATACTTATATTTTATGTTTGTTTCTTATTTTAAGAAATATGCTGAAAAGATACAAAATACATAATGTATGTATAATTTTAGTCATTTATTTATGTTGAAGGAATAGTCATATTTTTTATGGTGCTTATTTTTATGTTAATAAATATATCTTTAAATAATGCGTAGTTTATATATAATAATTCACTAAAATATATGTTCTTGTTCTCTATTCCCTAACTCTGCATGCCTTGACTCGGGAATCATATTGTTTTAATTATTTTCTACCGCGTGACTCCCTGAATCCTATTGATATATTGGTTTGGTATACCACAACTATAAGGGTGCCGACCCGTGTTCTAAACAGTAGTGATGTCAGAATACGATATCAACAAAAGTATTACTTTTCCCATCTGAAAATTCACAAAGTTTAGATGATACT